GGCCCAAAATTTCATCTCGTAGTCTTCAAACAAACGTCCCTCGAGTTTTTATAGTAAAACCTCGGCAATGAGCCCAGAGATTGAAGACCCCAGTGGAGTGCCTTTGATTTGCTCATATGTAGTCCCTTCGAAGGTGAGGAAGGCACAGAGGCAATGCTCAATGAGTTCCATGAAATCCTGAGCCGTGGGTTAACCATCTTTCATGGCAATTCTGATGTATGAGTTCGCGGATGGATTCCACAGCAAGCGCCTGTGGTGTGGACGTGAAGAGTGAGATGACGTCGAATGAAACCATCCTTCCATCTGGCTCCACGTGACTGTCTTTATTTTGTCAAGAGACTGTACAGCCGAGTGAATTGTCGTTTGTGAGCCCACCGTGAGAAATCTCAACATCTGCAATAACCAGTTTGCCAGCCCGTACGTAGGCGTGCCTCGGAGGGAGACGATTGTCCGTAAGGGAACGTCCGGCTCGTGTACGTTTGGGAGGCCGTAGAATCGTGCCATAGATGCTTCTGTAGGCTTCGCCATGTACCAGTTCTTGATGGTGATGACCTTTTATTTCTTCAGCCGACCCAGGGTTCTGCTCACCTTTACCAGTAGTGCATTTAGGCCGGCGGCCTCGCTGACTCTGTAAGATTCTCGATTACTGGAGAGCGTCCTGATTTTGTTTTGGTAGCCAGCTTTATCGAGCACTACCGTTGATCGGCCTTTGTCGGCGGGTAGAATAACTATTTGAGCGTCTGATTTTAACTCTCTTAGGGCCTTTTTTTCTCTCTTAGTAGTGAATTGGTTTTTCAGTTCGAAATAAGAAGAGAGGTGACATGATGTCGAAGGAGGTCCTTAGTTTCGTCTGCTGCGCCGGTTTGGCGTAGCGTTGATTCGAAGGAGGCAATGAAGGCGATAGGGTCAGTGTCGGTCGTGTTAACTCCAAATCCATGTTGCAGGACTTTAGTTTGAACCTTGGTTAGTGGTTTGGACAAGAGATTACACACTAACGTTTACTCGCTCTCCGGGTATTGTGCGGTCTACCATGCCCCGAATTTTATCGATAAGTCTGCATCTCCGTTTTCCCGCTTCTGTCGCCTTAAGGGTAGTAGGGTGTTCTCTAAAGATGGTTAGACGAGAAAACTACCCACAAAAAGTCAGGTTTATAATAAACCACTCCCAAGGAACGCTCATCTTTCTTCTGAGATGATGTTATGTTTACTAGGCCGTTTGCACAATCCCTCCCAGACGTCGGTTGTGCAATGCCCTCAAAATCTGTATTATCTGTGCAAGTCGCTTCCAAACGAAAAGAAAGGCTATCGGGAGGAAATTTGACCAGACCTTTGTCAGTAGTCCTAAGCTCTGAGATACTATGGCGACTAAAGCTGGCCTGCCGGTTAACCAATGGTGGCGTCGCTGGAAGTACTTCCTCCCTCCTCACCTGTGCATTGATTTCAGGCTTTTGAAAGCTGAAATTGGGTCAGCCCTAATAGGCACCTGCCATATTGCCGTCATCCCTTATAAAATGGCTGAACGATCGGTATCAGAATTGGTTTTCGCTTAGGGCAGTATGTTCATGGCTTCCTATGAGCTTGAGGTCAGGCGGATGAAAACCTCCTAAAGTTTGTGGACATGTTCTTCAGAAACGGGCATTTCTGCGGTAGGATGGCTGCACCATCCGAGCCGAATAAATGCGTATTCGAAGGATCAGACAGCCTTAGACTGAATTGTTGACCACAAGGAAGACCTTGATTTATTGGATCGTCTCAGCGTTGTAACTCAGTCATTCCGCATGTGGCTTCGCCTGCGATGTTGCTCTAATAGGTCTCGTTTAACTGTTTATGTTAGAAAGCGGAAGAAACAACTCCCGAGTTTTCTGTCGGGTCTTACCCGAGGTCGGCCTTGGGCCGGTCTAAAGACTTCCTTGACAGCTTATCTCGAAATGATGCTTTTTTACCTCGAGGTTATTTACAGGGCTGGACTTGCAGCCAAACATTCGGTACAACTAGCATTTGGAAATGCATAACACAATTGTAAATGGCATATCCCGCCTTCCGATGACCAGCTGGAGCGAGATAAATACGAGGGCGCATATAAGTTCTCTTGCTGTATGAAGGAAGGTTCGAACGATAGGGGAGGGGAGGGCTATGTCTTGTGCAGGTATTCGCCGACGCAAATGGCGCCGTGGTTATCAGACACTCCTTTTCGAAATGTGTGATTTGTAC